CATGTGTATATTTATATGTATACATACATACATACATATATATACATACATATGCACATGCTGATATGTACAACCGTGTATATGCATGTGTATGTGTAATTGTATTTGAATGCGTATATGTATGTGGATACGTATGTGTTTCTGAGTATGTAAATGTGTATGTCTGTGTATGTATATATAGCTGGTTTGATGTATGTATGCTTGCATGTATGCATGCATGCATGCATGTCTGGCATGCATGTCTGTGGCTTGAGGTGCAACGCAGGCCTGGTGGATGTTAAGGTCGTTATTTGGGGTTCATGTGCGAAGGTTTCCCCCGTTTCTCTCGCTCTCTCGCTCTCTCTCTACCTCTCTCTCCCTCCCTCTCTCGCTCTCTCTCTCTCTCTCTCTCTCCCTCCCTCGCTCTCTCTCTCTCTCTCGCTGTATCTCGCTCTCTCTCTCTCTACCTCTCTCTCCCTCCCTTCCTCCCTCCCTTCCCCTCTCTCTCCCTCTCTCTCCCTCTCTACACACATGACTACCTCGCTCTCTCTCTCTCTCTCTCTCTATCTCTCTCTCTCTCTATCCCTCTCTCTCTCTAGATCTGTATGTCTCTGTGTCTGTTTGTGTGTACCCAAGCTGCCGTCCACCTCGCCAGGAGCACGGCTCACCATGGAGGCGGAGGAGGAGGAGGAGGAGGAGGAGGAGGAGGAGGAGGTTGTTCATTCCTTTTCCTCCCAGAGAAAAGGGGGAGGAGGTTCCATTCCCTGCCCTCTCCCTCGGGAGGAAGAAAGATGAGGAGAGGAAGGTGTACTCCCTTTCCTGTTCCCTCAGGACGGAGGAGGAGGAAGATCTTGTCCTTCCCTTTCCCTCAGAAGGAGGAGGAGGAGGAGGAGGAGGAGGAGGAGGAGGAGGAGGAGGAGGAGGAGGAGGGGGTGGAGGGGGAGGAGTTTCCTTCCCCTCCTGATCCCTCAGGTCGGAGGGGGAGGGTCCTTCCGTTGCCTTGTCTTCCTTCAAAAGCAGGAGGAGGAGGAGGAAGAGGAAGGAGGAGGTGCCTTCCCCCTCACGTTCCTTCAGGAAGGGTGAGGACCAGGTGTCCTTCCTTTCCTTTTCCATCCGGAAGCACGGGGGGAGAGGAGGAGGAGACTCGTTCTCGGACTTTCCCTCGGGAGGGAGGACGCCGATGAGGCCACGTCCCTTTCCTGTTCCTCAAGAGGAGGAGGCGGGGGAGGAGGAGGAGGAGGATCCTTCCGTACCCTTTCCCTCAAGAAGGGAGAGGAGGTTCCCTTCCTTCCCCATTTCGTTTCAGAAATGGGGAGGTGGAGGAGGAGGCTCATTCGTTTCGATTGCCTTCAGCAGGGGGAGGAGAACGAGGAGGCTCATTCCCTGTTCTTCCCCTCTGGAAGGGGGAGGAGGAATTCCTTCCCTTCCCTTTGCTCAGGACGGAGAACGAGGAGGTTCCTTCTCTTCCCTTTCCTTCAGGAGGAGGAGGAGGAGGAGGAGGAGGAGGAGGAGGAGGAGGAGGAGGAGGAGGAGGGTGTGGGAGGAGTTTCCTCTCCGCCTCTATCCTTCGGGAAGGATGAGGGGGAGGTTCCCTTGCTTTCCCTTCCACCAGGGGGGGGGGAATATGAGGAGGAGGCTCATTCTCTTCTCTCCCACAGGAAGGAAAATGAAGATGAGGTCCCTTCCCTTCCGTTTCCCATAGGAGGAGGAGGGGGAGGAGGATCCCTCTCTTCCCTTGACTGCAGGAAGAAAAACAGCGGGGGACCCCTTCCCTTCCCTTTCCCCCAGGGGCGAGGAGGATAAGGAGGCTCATTCTCTTTCATTTCCATCCGACGGGGGAAAAGGAGGAGGCTCATTCCCTTCGTTTCCCCTTAGGAAGAAGCAGGCAGGCATCCCTTCCCTTCCCTTCCCCCGGGAGGAGGGGGATGAGGTTCATTCCCTCCCTTTTTCCCTCAGGACGGGGAAGGGAGGGGCCCTCCCTTTCTGCTCCCCCCGTAAGGAGGAGGAACACGGGGAGGAGGAGGTTAATTTCTTTTCCTCTCCTTCAGTCCAGGAAGCAGGAGGGTAATGAGGTTTTCCCCCTCCCATTACTGTAGAAGGGAGAGAGCGAAGATTCTTCTCTTCCCTTTCCTTCAGGAAGGAGCAGGAGGAGGTATGATTTCCCTTTCTCTCAGGAAGGAGGAGGAGGAGGAGGAGGAGGGTGAGGAGGAGGAGGAGGTCCCTTCCCTTTCCTTTCCCTTAAGAAGAGGAGGGGGAGGACGATGGTATTCCTTGTTTGCCTTTTCTTCCAGGAAGGGAGAGGACGATTTTTTTTTCCCGTCCTCTTTCCTTCTGGAAGAGGGAGGAGGAGGAGGAGGAGGAGGTTACCTTCCTTCTCCCTCCCCCAGGGAGCAGGAGGATGAGGGCGTTCCTTCTTGTGCGTCCCCCCAGTACGGAGGAGGAGTGTGGTTATTTGCCGTCCTCCCCCCTCAGTAAGGAAGGGTAAGATGAGCAAAAGGCTTTTCTGGTTTCTGTCTTTCAGAAAGGAGGAGGTTCCTTCTCTCCCCTTTTTCCCCAGGCGGGAGGGGGATGGCGGGGGGGCGGGGGATTCCTATCGCATGTCATTGCGTTGTACCCTCACTGCGTTGCAATCGCATTCTGTTTATGTGTTCAAGCTGCTGCTGATGACGGTGGTGGCGACGTGCATATTTTTGAAAGTCATGCCGATGACGATGGCGATGACGGGTGCGGTACAATATGCTGTCGATGACGACGGTGGCGACGCGCATCCTTTTGAGGGGGAGGGAGTGGGAAAATAAAGAGGCGCGGCGCGTCCTTCTCCCCCCCTCCCTCCTGCTGGAGGCCGCGGCTGAAGCTGAGGGGGAGGCAGGTCGGCAGGGAGGGGATGGATGTGATAATGAGGAGGCGCGACACGTCGACGCTCCCTCCGCCTCCCTCCTGCTGGAGGCTCTGGGGGGGGGGGGGGGGGGTCACAGGGAACACATCCAAACCTCCAGGAACCACACCGAGGTTTACCTTCGGCCCGAAAGAACCACATGGCCTCCAAGGCCACTCGTCCCGTTTTTGTTGTCATGGGGATCCCCCCCCCCGCCCGAGGCCCAGGAGCGAGAGGGATCTCCGTTCCCCTCCTTCCAGCCTCCTCCCTCACAATGCAATCGCATAGCACTGGATCTGCATTACTTCGCACTGCAATCGCATTGCGTTCCAGCGTCTTGCAATCGCATTGCATTGCATTGCCCTTTCCTTCCCTGTCCATCCTTCCGCTCCCGTCCAAAGCGCTGCCTTTTTATCAGACCTTGGCCACGCAAGCTTCAATTCCACCAGGCCTGCTGTCATGTATGTCTGTATGTATGTCTGCATGCATCTAGGTGTGTATGTGTGCATGGATGCATGTATGTATGTATGTATGTGTGCGTATGTGCGTGTTCATATGTATGCGTGCATGTTTGTATGGGTAGATGGATGGATGGACTGCTGCTTGTACGGATGCTGGTATGTGTGCGTGTGTGTGCGCATGCATGTGTGTATGATTGTCTGCCTGTCCGTCTGTCTGTCTGTCTGTCTGTCTGTCTGTCTGGATGTTTGTATGTATGTATGTGTGTATCGGTATATGTGTGCATGCATGTGTGTATACATGTATGTATGTATGTGTGTATGCATGTCTGTACGTCTGTATGTATGATTGTATACATGGTTCGGTATGGTTTTCCTCTGGATATATGCATGCATGTGTGTATGTGGGTATGCATGTACGTACGTACGTACGTACGTACGTATGCCTGTACGCATTCATGTTTGCGTGTATGCTTACATGTATGTCTGTATGTATGTGTGTATGTATGTGTGTATGTATATATGCGTGTGTGTGTACGTAAGTGCGTATGTATGTACCTATGCACTTATGTACTTATGTATGTATGTGTGCATGTACATATGTATGTGGGTAAGTCGATATGTATGTATGTATGTATGTATGTATGTATGCAGGCAGGCAGGCAGGCAGGCAGGCAGGCAGGCAGGCAGGCAGGCAGGCATGCATGCATGCATGCATGCATGTATGTATGTATGTTTGTATGTATATATGTATGCGTGTACATGGAATGCATGAAATTGTATTCCTCTGCGTGCACACGCACTTTTTGGATCAACGGGTCGATGCACCCCGCGACTGAAAATAACCTACAGTCTCGTGTCTGGCGCACATTACGTTGCCAGTGTGTACCGGCTCGATTCAAGGTGGAGTTTGCCTGATGCATTTTCCGCAGAACAATTTTGGTCATGATAGGGGTTCTTTTTGCTGGGGTGATTTCAAATCTGGATGCCTGGGCACCCACCACCTGCAACAAAAGGGGGTTCGACGACCGTGTGGACATTCGCGCGCAAGCTCCCCTGGCAAGGTCGCACGTAAACTCCTTCTTTTCCGCGTGGTGTGCCGCGTTGGTGGCCGCCGTGAGCCATCCGCCGTCGTGTGCAAGGCCCTTCTTACTTCGTCGCCCATCCCCATTCATCCGACCTCGTGGACGTGGACTCCGGGAGGTCTCGACTCTCCCCGGGACCAGCTTACGGTCCTGGTGCCTGGCAAGGGCCCCGAGAGGTCGAGTGAGGCCGACCGCCTTATGCTGCAACCTTTTCGAGGTAGAAGATTACTCCCCAGATCTGTGCTGGTGGGCCCGCTGGACAGAGCTTCGAAGGGAAGCCAACCGTGGGAACGAGACGTCTTCCGCGAGGCCAACAAAATAGCGTGGGAACATTGATCCTCGAAGAGCCTCGATCCGCGAACCTCGAACCTGGGTCAGGCTTCGGTCGGCACACAGACGCCCCCCCCTGGTATTCCGAGCTGGCTCCCCGAGTAGTCCCAACTGGCCTCAACGGGCCCCGGGCTCCTCGAGGAGCCTCTTGAGGCCAGACGATACTTCTCGGGGGGCCTGTCGAGGCCAGCCGGGGCTACCTGCGGGGGGGCTGTCCGTGCGGAACCCGAAGCCTTACCACGTGGGCCAGTTGCTGCCCCGCGCGACCCCGAGGAGGCGCTGGCGGCGCTCGGGCTTGCACTGGCGGCAGCCATCTCGGACCCGTCGGCGGCCCCTGGGCGGGCGGCCACGGGCGTGGCCGAGGCGTTGTTCGGGCGGGTGATGGAGCTGGCAGGCGCGGTGAGGATGAGGATGAGTCTGATGAGGAGGAGGAGGAGGACGACGAGGACGACGAGGAGGAGGATAATGAGAATGATGGGGATGACGATGATGCTGATGATGGTGCTGATGCTGTTGATGCTGCTGGTGCTGATCATGATGCTGCTGGTGCTGATGATGATGATGCTGATGATGATTATGATGATGATGATGATGACGCTGTTGATGATGATGATGCTGTTGATGATGGTGATGATGATGATGATGATGGTGATGGTGATGATGATGGTGATGATGATGACGATGATGATGATGATGACGATGATGATGATGATGATGATGATGATGATGATGATGATGATGATGATGATGATGCGGCGGAGCTGCTGCTGATGACTGATGATGATGATGCCGATGACGTTGATGGTGATGGTGAGGGTAATGAGCGACGATGGGTGGTGGTGGTAATGATGATGGTGGTTGTGATGATAGTTTGTGGTGATGCATGATGATGGTGGGTAGTTGATGTGGGTGGCGATGATGATGGTTGTGTTGGTGGCGGTGATGGTGGTGGTGATTATGATGGTGGCTAGGGGTGATGATGATAATGATGATGATCATGGTGGCGGTGGTGATGATTGTGACGATGAGACTGCTGCTGATGAGGATGGTGGTGGTGATGATGATGGTGATTATGGTGATGGTGATGATGCGGTTGGTGAATCTGATGCTGCTGCTGATGATGAGGATGATGATGATACCAGCGAGGAAGATGATGCTGATGATGGTGGTGATGATGGTGATGCTGAGTGTGTTGATGATGGTGGTGGTGGTGGTGATATTGACGATGATGGTGGTGGTGGTGATGATGATGATATATGATCACCATCATGCGTATGCTCATGCTCATGCTCATGCTAATGATGCTATTGCTTATGATGACGCTGATGAAGCTGCTGATGAAGATGATGCTGATGCTGATTATGGTGATGGTGATGATGACTAGGATGATGACGATGACGCTGACGATGACGATGAGGATGACGATACTTGGCATCGCTCGGACGTGCGCATTTTCCTAGGCGAGGGCCGCCGAGGAATCTGATGATGGTGATGGTGATGGTGACGTCAATGATGTTCGGTGGTGCATTGCAGGAGTATAGGAAATCAAGAGGACCAGCGCATGAATGGACTCTGGCGGGGAGCCGCAACCGCGCGGTGCAGTCGCAACGGTTGCCCGATGGTCCGACACACCCTGTTATGTCTGCGCCCCGCCGCGCGGGTCTGAGGACCGCCAGTGACCGGAGAGCGACTCCAGCCTGGCAGTGGGGATCGATAGTGAGCTCGAGTGGGATCCATAGTGAGATCGATACTGAGATCGATACTGAGATCGATACTGAGATCGATGTGGTGCCCCGAGGTGCCCCGTGGTGCCCCAAAACGTGAGATCGATAGTGAGATCGATAGTGAGATCGACAGGTGTCCCGTGGTGTCCCGTGGTGTCCTGTGGTGTCCCGTTGAGTGAGATCGATAGGGAGATCGATAGGGAGATCGATAGTGAGATCGATGTGGTGTCCCGTGGTGACCCATAATGAGATCGAGAGGTGTCCCGCGGTGTCCCGCGGTGTCCCGTGGTGTCCCGTGGTGTCCCGTGGTGTCCCGTGGTGTCCCGTAGGGTAAGATCGATCGTGAGATCGACAAGTGTCCCGTGGTGTCCCGTGGTGTCCCGTTGAGAGTCCCGCGGTGTCCTGTGGTGTCCCGTGATGGCCCGTGGTGTCCCGTGGTGTCCCGTTGAGTGCGATCGGTAGTGAGATTGATAGTGAGATGGACAAGTGTCCCGTGGTGGCCCGTGGTGTCCCGTGGTGTCCCGTTGAGTGCGATCGATAGGGATATCGATATTGAGATCGATGTGGTGCCCCGGATTGTCCCGTGGTGTCCCGAAAAGTGAGATCGATAGTGAGATCGATGTGGTGCCCCGAGGTGCCCCATGGTGTCCCGTTGAGTGAGATCGATAGGGAGATCAATAGTGAGATCGACAGGTTTCCCGTGGTGTCCCGTGGTGTCCCATCGATAGTGATATCGATAAGTTTAATGAGACCGATAGTGAGATCGAGAGGTGTCCCACGGTGTCCCGTGGTGTCCCGTGGTGGCCCGTGGTGTCCCGTGGTGTCCTTTTGAGTGCGATCGATAGTGAGATCGATAGTGAAATCGACAAGTGTTCCGTGTGTCCCGTGGTGTATCGTGGTGTCCCGTTACGTGAGATCGATCGTGAGATCGATTGAGTCAGATGTTGGTTCCCCCTCCTCTCCCCCCCCCACGGTTGTGCAAAGCTCCCCTGGTATTTTCACTTCGGACCCGAATAGCTTCCTCATGGACGAGACGGTTAAGTTAGGTGAGCACTGGAATGCTAGTCTAAGTCCTCCAACAGCTTGGGTCCCAAATCGTGAGTGCTTCCCGCGAGCTACACCGACGGAGCTCCGCGTCGCGGCGAGGTCCTTCAGCAGGCATACCTCCCAGTCGCTGGACGGCTTCCACCCGCGTCACTTTGCCTGCCTCAGCGACATGGGGCTGGAGGTCCTGGCGCTACTCTTTAAGGCGGTGGAGCGGATAGGAAGTTTTCCGTCCCAATTGCTGTGGATGTTGATGCCCCTCTTGGAGAAGCCGAAGGGAGGTCTACGGCCCATCCTGCTCCTGGGGGCGCCCGTGCGCCTGTGGGAGAGGCTCCGACGGGGCCAAGCTGATGAGTTTTTGGAGCGGGCCCAACGGCCTTACTGGTCCTTCGGGAATGGAACTAGTTCGGAGGTGGCCATCTGGAAACAAAGCGTCCTCGCGGAACAGGCTTCTTCGACTGGGAAGGCTACAGCAGGTTTCATTTGGGATGGTATGAAATATTATGAGTCCTTTGTTCTAGCCTGGCTCCGAGATCGAGCCGTCTATTGGGGCATCCCCTTGGTCCTCATCAAGACCCTCTACAACCTATGGCGAGGCCCCCGTATACTCAGATTGGGCACCGACTGCTCCCCTCTGGTGCTCTTTGCGGGCTCAGGCCTTCCTGCGGGGGACATCTTTAACGACGTCTTCGTTAGAGCATATGTTACGTACGATTTCGACCAGTTCTCTCTCCGAGATCCACAGGTATCGCTAGGCTCCTACATAGATGACGACACGCTAGTCGCGTATGGAGACGAGGACGAGATAGTGGCGAACCTAACCAAGGCTGGCCACGACTTGAAAGCTATTTTTTTCGGAACGGCTGAACGTCCACCTAGCGGAGGACAAGGCGGTGACTTTTGCATCTTCGCAGAGACTGGCGACGAGGCTCTCCAGGAGGCTGCGAGTGGCATGTCCGTCGGTGGCATCGAATGCAGTAGTATCTCTTGGGGCAGATTTAGCACCAGGCCAGAGGAGAAGATGCAGAGGAGGACTACACAAGCGTCACCAACGGTTACGAGCTATGCGTAAGGGGCACCGTGTTTTGTCATTTTACCGCAACCGATTGCCACGGGACAAGTCCATAATGTCTAAGATTTATGTTGTTCGTCCTGCAGCGGGCTACGGAGCCATGATTCTCGGCTTTGCGGATGGCGAACTACGGGCACTTCAGAGTACTCTAATGGCGGGACGCAGTCCAGCACACAAAGGTGCCTCCCTCACTGCTAAGTTGGTCTTGCACGGCGATCCAGCGTGGAAGCAGGCGGCTGCGCCAGCGGCCCAATGGGCCCCGGGCATCTGGAGGTCCATCACCCAGCCGCGTTCATCACCTTTCTCGTTTCGGGAACGCATCCAGATATGGCGGGACACGGTGGAAGCTCAAACTCTTGTTCTGGAACCTTCTGGTTGGAAGCTATCTCGGGGACCCATGCACCGCATGCTGTTGTGCCTACACAGAATAGGGTGGACAGCTACCAGTTTCACAGTGTGGCACGACGACCGAGGGTACGTTATCGATCTCCTCTACGCGGCACCTGCCCTGGTCAATAAGCTGCTGCAGAAGGGGGTTCAGAGATCACATGAGCGTCGTATGGCGCAGGCATTGCCAGAGTTCAGTGCTGACAGAGTTGCTTCGGACCCGCTCCAAAGAATGATGCTTTCCAAGCGCACCTCCCCTCGTGAGAAAAGAATGGCTGAGTGCAGTTTTCTCTGGGGCCTGTTGGACGGGAGATAGGCTGAGATCCTCGGGGCACGTTCACGACGGTTTGCGCCCGCTTTGTCGTCAGCCCGATTCCCTGGTCCACAGACAGCTTTTTCTGCGACAGCTCCGAGCCCCGAGCAGCTAGGCGATAGCGCCTGTCTGACGAAGAAATCGCCGAGGCGAGAGCGGCTGCGCCCGATAGATTGCTTTTCTGGTCTCGGTTGATAATGGCTCAGCCCACCCCCCTCCTCTTTGTTTGGACCTCGACCCCGTCCTCCAGGGACCTGAGGGGGAGCCATTAACGATCGATGAGTTTTGTAGACTGACCCTCGACACGGAGATCGTCGTGGATGGGTCGGCCACCACTGGAGTTTTTCGCGAGCTCAACCGCGCCACCTATGCTGCTGTTTTCCTAGACCCTGGCACGGACTACATGGTGAGAGCTCGCGCTCTCGGCGCGGTGTGGCCAGGTCTTCCCCATGCAGCGCAGTCTGGAAGAACATCTGGGGATTGCTACTCCTAGCTGCCTGGCCACGGGGCGAAGTGATGTGCACAGCGACTGTTTGGGGGCGGTGCGGTTGGCCTCCTCGAGCCCCGCTGCGCAGTTGGACCCCAATCAGATCTTCGCGGGCGTCCGACGAAGGGCCCTGGCGGAAGATGGCCAGGCCAGCATCAGTTCTGTTTCACATGTGGCTGCGCATCGCTCTGCAGGGGCGATCGCAGCGCTCCCACCGCGCGAGCGGAAGATCGCCCTAGGCAATGCCGACGCGGACAGGTTGGCAAAGCACGCGCTGAGTTTTCACCCCAGCCGTGCCCCAGACGAGCTGGAGAGGCTGGGTCAAGATTTTGTCAAGCTGCGCAAGCTCGTGGCGATGTTTGCGGCAGTGCTTTCCTGTTTCCCGAAGCTCGAGCGTCGGCGGGAAAAGACGGGCCCCCGGATGCCGCCCCCGCGTGCCCTGAGCTGGCATGAATGGGCCATCCTCGACCCTGGCGGCGAGAGCGACCAGGAAAGCGTGGATCGATGCAGTAAGTGCTTTAAGGTGTCCTATGGCGACGATCGGCCGATGCCTGGGTGCAGCGGACCCCCCGCGGCCCTGCGTCGCCTGCAAGGCGCGGAGAGCGAACGGGGCCACCTCCTGTGCACTTCCCTGTGCCAGACCGCCGAGTGTGATATGCTAATTCTGCACGCTTCGCGCATCCCCACCAGCCCATCTCACAGCAGCAACTCTTGCGAAGCATGCCGACAGTCGTTGTGTGTGTGTGTGTGTGTGTGTGTGTGTGTGTGTGTGTGTGTGTGTGTGTGTGTGCGTGCGTGTGTGTGTGTGTGTGTGTGTGTGTGTGTGTGCGTGTGTGTTTTTTTTTTTTTTTTGTTTTTCTCCAGGCGCGTGTCCGCTTGGCCCCGCATATCTCCCTTGTTCCTCCTTCTTCCCGCCTCCTTGCGCATCCTCCTTGTGGTGGGGGCGGGAGAAGGACGAGGCGGAGGAGGAGGGAGAGAAAGCGCTCCTCGTGGTTTGAGTCGTTGGGGGTTTCTCGTCCTGGTGTGAGTCGTTCGGGCCCTTGTTCCTGGTGTGAGTCGTTCGGGCTCTTCGTGGTGTGAGTCGTTCGGGCTCTTCGTCCTGGTGTGAGTCGTTCGGGCTTCTCGTGGTGTGAGTTGTTCGGGCCCCTCGTCCTGGTGTGAGTCGTTCGGGCCCCTCCTCCTTGTGTGACTCGTTCGGGCTCCTCGTGGTGTGAGTCGTTCGGGGCCCGCGTCGTGGTGTGAGTCGTTCGGGCTCCTCGTGGTGTGAGTCGTTCGGGCGCCTCGTCCTGGTGTGAGTCGTTCGGGCCCCTCCTTGTGGTGTGAGTCGTTCGGGCTCCCCGTTCCTGGTGTGAGTCGTTCGGGCTCCTCGTGGTGCCTCGGGGGCCTCTTGGAGCATCTTGGGCCTCTGGGGGCCTTGGGAGCCTCTTGGAGGCCGGTGGGGCGTCTTGTGAGTCGTTTCGAGCTCCTCGTGGGGCCCTTGGGGGCCTCTTGGAGCCTCTTGGGGCCTCTTGGGGGCCTCTTGGGGGTCTCTTGGGGGCGTCTTGGGGTTGGGGAGCCTCTTGGGGCCTCTGGGGGCCTCCTGGAGGCCTCTTGGGGGCCTCTTGGGGCCTCCTGGAGGCCTCTTGGAAGCCTCCTGGGGGCCTCTCGGGGCCATCTTCGGAGCCTCGTGCGACCTCCTCAGAAGCGCAAATGAGCGTTGCTTCCTGATTTGTCAAAAATGAGCCCAGCACCTTCGTAAAATCAATGATTTTGCGATGAAGGAAGGGGAGCGCTGCCCCCTCAGAAATCCAAAATGGGGCCAACAACCTAGTAACATCAATGCTTTTTGCGTCAAAGACGAGCTGAGGCACCAAACTCCCCCCCCCCCCCCCCCCCCCCCCCCCCCCCCCCCCCTCGGGGCCAGAATCCTCGTGATGGTCGTCGTTTTTTAGCCCTCCCAAGAGTCGAAATTGACCCCCCTTGACACCACTCGGAACTCCCTCTCCAGGTCCAGGGGGAGGGGGTAGGGGGAGGGGTAAACCCCTCCCCGAAGGGGAAGAAGCGGGGTCGAGGACAGAGAGAGCTCGCTAAACCACTCACGCCCAAAGGGCTGGTGGGATTTTCTGCTTCAAGTGTGGAGCTTTCACCCGCCAGCGGTGTTTCCTTCTCGGCGAGAGGTGCAAAGGGAAGCCTTGACCGAGTGGCAGGGGCGGTCTCCACCGAATTCGTCAAGGCCTTCATCCTCACTACAGATCGGAGGAGAAGGTCGCTGCAGGTTCTGGCGTCACATGTCGCGCCTCTGCCAAGTATGTGCTGCTCCCTGCAGCCACTACTGGTAGCCCCTCCGCTCACTCGGGTGTGCGCCCCCTGCCATCGCTGGAGGCGCTGGCGGCCCGAGTAAGAGAGCGGGAGGAGAATGCAGCTCGGGCTTTGGAGGAGCATGGAGTGCTGCCTCGGCCTTCGACCCGCGGCAGTCCCGCGGGTTAAGTCTAAGTGGCTAGGGGGGAGACGTTCATCCCCTGCGTTGCCACACCCGTCAGACTGCCGTGCGGCGCTGGCTGGTAATGCTCAGCTCTGCCTCGCGGGCCCCCGAGGATCCTGATCATCCGAAGGTTGGTCGTATAGGTATGTGGATTGTTGTAAGAAATCGTAGTGACGTCTTGGGCCAATCTGCACGGTCTTGGGTCAACAGAACCCTGTCATTAGGGCCTTTTGTGAAGCTTCCTATGGGGCCTCGATCCGTGTGAGGTGTGTGGCGAAATGAGCGGGGAGCCGCATGCGAACCTTGTCACCGAGGCTTCGTTGGAGCGCCCTATGGGGCCATGGAATTTTAAGGGGTGTGCCATAATGGGTGGGGAGCCGCAAGCGAACCCTGTTACTGGGCCCTTCTGTGGAGTTCCCTCTCGGGTCACGAACTGTGTGAGGGTTGTGCCGAAGTGGGCGGGGGGCCGCATGCGAGCCCTGTCATTGCGGCGTTCTGTGGGGTTCCCTGTAGGGCCACGAACCGTGTCAGGGGCGTGACGAAATGGGCGGGGAACCGCATGCAAACCCTGTCATTGGGGCCTTTTGTGGATTTCCCTTTTGGGCCATGCAGCGTGTGAGCGGTGTGCCGAAACCAGTGGGGAATCGCATCCGAACCCTGTCATTGGGGCCTTTGGTAGAGCTTCCAAATGGGCCACGAACCGTGTGAGGGGTGTGCCGGGACAGAGACATGCGGAGGGAGAGGCAGAGATGAGAGGAGGGAGGAGTGGGAGGAGGAAGGATGGAAAAATCGATGCGGGGCGTTGTCTCTTTGAACAACGAGGACCCACAACCACAGGATGCTTGGGATAGGCGCCCTTGCTCAATTAGGTCCTTGCACTTCGAACCTCGATCCTCCTCCCACGCCCAGGTCCTGAGCGGTCTCCCGGGCCGATGGTAGTCGTTCGTCCTGGACCAACCCTTGCCGGCTTTCAGGGGCCCGAGATCGAGAAGAATTCCAGGATTCACGCACACATTCTTGACGAAACCCGATTCTCCCCCCGTCCCTGCTCCCTGTTTCATCACAACAAACAAGCCGCAACAAACCACGACTGGCACCTCAGGCAAATGTGCAGACGAGGTTCCCTACTGGGACCCATCGAAGTCACCGAGAAGGTTGCGAAACGACGTCCTGACGGTGTCGGCGCCTGTCCTGCCCTGCTCAGTAACGCTCGGGGGGTATAGGCTCATTGGGGGATGCGTCGACCCCCAATCGCACATAAATCACCCAAAAGTGCCCGATTGCCCACTCCGCGCAGGAACGTGCCACTTCGATACGATACCGTGGTCTATCGTCGATCCAACTGCGATGTATCACCGATTCATGCTCTAGGTGTCTCCCCCTGACCCGTCCCCCCTATCGTGTCACCCCACCTGTTCCCCCCCCTTCACCGCAAGAGCCCGCGCGGCCGAGCGTCCTCCCCTTCACCGTAACAGAAAGGATTACGTTTATAATCGCCACAAAAGCCTCGACTGGCAGTTTGGGCAAACGGACACAGTGCCCTCAGCTGGGACCCATCGAACTCACAAAGGAAGCGGCGAGGAGGCGCCCTCACGGGGTCCCGCCTTCCCCCCCCCTTGGCTGGCGCCCGCTCTGCCCTTCGCCCGTGCAGCTGGGGCCTCGGGGTCGGCTGTCAGGGCGCTTGCGTCCTACAGCCGGGGGGAAGAGGGGGAGGAGGACGAGGAAGGGCGAGGAGGAGGAGGAGGAAGGGCGAGGTGGAGGAGGAGGAGGGGGAGGTGGATGGGGCGAGGAGGAGGAGGAGGAGTAGGGGGCCTGCCTTGCCCGCCCGGAGCCCGTGCGGCCGAACACGTCCCCTGAACAGGCGCGACGCCCTCCGACGCCGACGAGAAGCCAACCGCGGAGGCGGAGGCGCCCTCGGCCGAGGCCGCGAGGAAGGCGGCCGCCGAGGAGACCCGCCGCCGCCGTGGCCGCCGCTTCGCCGCCGTTGCCGCCGCTTCGCTGGCGGCGAGGGCGACGGCGTCCGCCGTCGGAGTCCGACGTGCGCCTGCGGGCCGCCGCAGTGGCCGCCGCTTCGGCGGTGGCGAGGGCGGCGGCGCCGTCGGCAGCGTCCGGCGGGGCCGTGGCCGCCGATCGGGCCAGGGCGTCGGAGCCGTCGGGGAAGAGGACGATGTCGCCGTGGCCGCCGCTGGCGACGAGGACGTGGCCGCCGCCGCTGTTGGCGCCGGCGGCGGCGAGGACGGCCACGAGCTCGACCTGTGTCATTCCCAGGCCCCCGTCGCGTCGTTAGAGCATCACGGCCGCTGGGAAAACGGCCTCTGGGGCCCCTTGCCGTGCCCCAGAACTCCAGGACCGTCAACAAAATACTCGGGATGAAAGGCCAGGGCCGCCAGAGCAGCGACCAAGGGAGGGTATGTTGGGAAAGAGTCTTGCGCCGTCCCTGGCAACCAGCGCGGGCTTCCGAGCGGTTGCCTTTCTGCAGTTTGTTGTTCCATTACCGACCGCGAGGACTTTGACTTCTTTGTCGTTCGGGCTTCTGGGCCAGCTGTCGTCGCCACGGCTGGGTCGCCTCGAGATCGTGGTCAGGGTCGTCGTCATCCTTCTCTTCCGTCTCCTCCGTTGCCTTCTCCCCATCTCCCACAGGGGATGAGGAGGCGGAGGACAACGACGACGACGACGCTCACGGACAGGCGGGGCGGGGGAAGGAGGAGGGTAATTAGGATGGGGGGACGTGTGGGCAGGGGGTGGTGAAAGGGAGGAAGGGGTGTTCGGGGCGGGTGGTGCAAGAGGAGGTTGGTTGAGGAGGCGGAGGAGGAGAAGTAGTAGCAGGAGAAGGAGACGTAGTAGCAGGATGAGGAGGAAGACCAGAGTAAACCCAAGATGCACCAACGATGCTGTGAGACGCCCTCCCGTCCCACGCCCCCTCAGAAGTCCCTGCACGTGTTCCATTCCACTGCGGGAAGCGTTCCCTTTGAATGACGAGCAAAGGATGGGCGTGCCACTCAGACGAGTTTCCGTTTGTAAATAATGCACCGTCGATATTCAAGCTAAACAGCAGTTCAGCAAGAGGTAGGTAGGGTGATGCAGCTCATGGGAGCATCGGTTTTGACACGGATCTGCCCTCCGGCCGTGTAGTGTTGCGAAATTTCAAGGTTCTGATCAGACAAGCGCGGACTTCTCAAGTGAGAGTTCCATGTTGAAGGGGAACCGCCCTCGATGCGCGTACCTATTGCACAATTTGTAACTTCGGGTCATATGATGCTTTTTGGAGACGAGCCGGCCTCCGTCTTTGCAGCTGCTCGAAGTTTCCACACCGAATGCGCGCAGCGGCACGGCGAGAGCGCACTGCTGTGAACGGCCGTTCCACCATCCGTTCAACTGTTTGACCCCGGGCGCCCAAGGGCGCCCCAGGGCCCGAGCGCCCCAGGGTCCCCGACCACGAGGGCCACCCGGGCACCCCTGGGCGGCACCTCCCCTCCCGGGGCCTCCCCGGAGGCCTCCCCCCCCCCCCTGGCGCCCGCAGGAGGCTCCCGGGAGCCCCACAGGAGTTCCAGGAGGGCCCCACGACGGCCCAAAGAGGCCCCCAGGCTACCCCGGCAGGCTCCCAGCGCCAACGAGAGACCCCCACGACAGCCACGAGAAGCCGCCTGAGAGCCTCCACCCCAGACACTGAGGATCTGACCGCCTCGGTCGGTGTTCTCGCAGCGCAGGACATCGGGGAACTGAGCCTCGATACTTGCCCTCCCCCCTCTCCTCCGCTCTGGGCCTTCCAGATGGGGTCCGAGCAGATGGGGTCGGTGGATCGCGCCGCATCGCCGATGCATCGCCGATGCATCGCCGATGCATCGCCGATGCGGGTCGAGCCCAATTTTTTCCACGCGCGCCGATGCATCGGCCGACATCGCCGATGCATCGCGAATGCATCGGCGTGCATCGCCTATGCATCGGCGCGATCCTCCGACCCCGTCTACTCGGACCCAATTTGGGAGGCCTCCACCCGCGGACCCCTCCCAGAGCGCGACCTGATCAGGACCTTGAGGTGCGTCCGACCCCGGCGACGAGTGCCACACCCTGGAATTCCAGGAGGAACGAATAGGGGCCTTTTCAGGGCCTCTTGACCTCTCCTGGGTGGGCAGGCTCTCCGACCCGAGCCGCTGTGTCGACGTTCCTGGGGCCCGGTGAGGCACCCCCCCGTGAAGCCGAGAACGGCTAGAAATCCCTCCGTTGCGTTGTTTTTCCGAGGGTGGCCAGGCCTGGGCCCCACGGCGAATCCCGAGCGCGCCCGATCCCGGCCCCGAACGCCGGCCGCCAGCGCGACGCCAACCGCCGCTGCGGCATCGTGTGGCTGACGGTGCTGCTACGGCGGCAGGCCCTGGTTCCCCCCCGCGTGCGTTCCCCCTTTGCGCACCACCGCCGCCGTCGTCGTGATCGTCGTCGTCGTTCTCGTCATCGTCGTGTGGTGCTCGCCGCCGTAATGGAGGATTATGATTAAGAAATGACCGGGGGTCGTGTTCACGCGGCGGCGCCAGGGATGATGATTAGGAAAAACCGGCCCCGGGCTGGGAAACTATTTTTTAATCGCCCCCCCCCCGCCGTCCTCGGGCGCGCGCCCCCCCCCACGGTGGAAGTTTCCCTGAGCTTCGTCACAGGGTAGCTCTGCCTGTGTGGTCGTCACAGGCGGGCGCTTTCGGTGACCCTCGTCAAAGGGGAGCGCTGCCTGCGTGGTCGTCACAGGCGTGCGCTTTCCTTGCGCCTCGTCACAGGGGAGCGCTGCCTGTGTGGTCGTCACAGGCGGGCGCTTTCCTTGCGCTTCGTCACAGGGGAGCGCTGGCTGTGTGGTCGTCGCAGGCGGGCCCTGTCTTTGAGCCTCGACACAGGGGAGCCCTGCTTAGTTACTAGCCCTGCATGTATGGTCGTCACAAAGGCGGGCCCTCTCATTCAGATTCCAAACAAGGGGACGCTGCCTGTGTGGTCGTCACAGAAGCGGGCCCTCCCCTTGTGCCTCGTCACAAGGGAACGCTGCCTGCGTGGTCGTCACAGGCGGGTGCTTTCCTTGCGCCTCGTCACAGGGGAGCGCTGCGTGTGTGGTCGTGGCAGGCGGGCCTTTTTTTTGAGCCTCGACACGGGGAGCCCTGCTTGTGTGGTCGTCGCAGAGGCGGGCCTTCTGTGACGACCACACAGGCGAGCCCTGCTTCTGAGCGTTCCCCCCCGGTGTGGGAAACTATTTGTTTTAATCGTTCCCCCCTCCTTTTTTCTGAATCGTCATCCCACATTAGTCGTCGTTCTCGTTTTCGTCTTCGTGTTGGCCTTCGTCGTTGGGGACGTCGTCGTTTGCGTCTTCGTCTTTGTCTGCGGGTGCGCCACCCTGCGCTGCGGGGCGAGGGCGGGGGAGGGGGTGGATGAGGAGTAGGAGGAGCATTGAGGATTCAGTTGGGGTTGAGGAGAATGCAGGGGTGCTCAGAAGTGACCAGTGGCCAGTTGAGGACCTGGTGCCTGTACAGTATGAGCGAGTTTCCAAGGTCACCCTTGCATTCTGACCCTTTGGCCCATCCTTGGCCACTTTTGCTGGCCGCGCCCCGCTTGGAAAGTGTCGACATGGCCTTCCAAGGCCTTTGCATCCTTATCTTGCATCCTTGCTAAACGCGTTGATTGTAGCTCAGGCTCATATATGCGTCTTCATCAGGACTACCGGCGGTCGAAGCATGCGCGATGAGACCAATCTTGCGACAAGCCTTACGCATCTGATGTGAAGGCTGAGGCTCTGGCCGATGCCGAGGCTGTGGCGCTTGAGGCGGACCTGCGTTGGGCAGTGTTCCCCCTCTTGCCCTCCTGACCTGTGCGCACAGCCTCTGGGCAGTGTGTTCCTTCTTGCCCACCTGACCTTTGCTCACAGCCTCTTCGGGCTGGCATGGCCGAAACCCTGCCGACAAGCAGATGTTGAGTGTCAACCGTCCTTTCGAAAACGCTCCTAGTGAGTTTGCACGGTAGCAAAGTGGCCGTCTATGTATCCAAGATGGCAGCAGCTGCAGGCACCGCTCTTGTCAAACGCTGCGCCCATCGGACAACCGACCTCCTGATCGCCTGGCCTAGGCATTGATGTGGACCTGGCTGCCACGCAGATATTGCTGGGGCCATTGCAGCTCCGCGGGATGCCACGGGGGTACAGGTCATCGGGTAGGGTGGCGAATTTGGAAGCCGCGGGCGGGCTCTCCTTTAAGTCGGCTTGGCAACAACACGGAGTATTCGCGCTGTGCTGTCCGAAGTGCGCCAGGCCTGCCTTCAGAAGGGCGGAGCCAGATCGGGGCGAGGTTCCCGCGCCAGCCTTGTCCAAGTGCCAGGCACAAGACGCGCAAGAGCTGTGACGCATGTGATTGTGGAGGCGGCCGCCACCAGCGACGAGCCCTGTTTCGGGTCCACTGTGTAATAGGCAAGCCCTGGGGATTTTTCGGGGCAAGTGCTTTGTATAGAGACAGTACGGAGCAGGACAAATTTAAGCATCATGAGCTCTGCAACGACAGGTACCACGAGTTCACGAGCGGGAGCTACACGTATACACGATTAGCGTCATTGTTGTGGTGGAAATGACCAGCGGAGCAACACGAGAAACATGACGGATCGAGAGTTTTGTGTGTTACGTCCAGGTTCGTCCAGGCATGTACCCCCTAGCAGTTATCGCCCCTTGTCAATATGCGCGAAAGGTTTCTCACCCGGCCTTTCCATGTATTGTCTCGCTCTACTGGTGAGACGCATCGCATAGAGATTTCCGTTCGACCTTGAGCTCGCCCGAGCTCACATCTCCCCCGAGGTTGAGGTGGGCCGAGGGACCCCCCCCCCCCTCTCAGCCTCTCCTCGCCTGGGGGAGGTCCCCGGAGAAGATGCTCCCCCCCCGGGGGGGGCTGGTCGCAGCAGCAGTGACCTGCGCGAGATCGACAATATCATGATCCGTATCGTTACGCTGCTGCTCATCCAAAGGGTTCATGATAATGATACGTTCCAAGACTTCCAAGTTTCCCATATTTCCTAGATTCCATAGCGTTCCGCACGGGCTCCTGACAGGCACGAGGGCTGCTAGCTATTCTGGAAATCCTGGAACGTATCTTGAGCCAATCGCTATCATGGCGCCGTGCTCGTCCCCCCGCGGGCCCAGGAAGGGCCCGGCCCGAAAGCCGGGGGCGGCCGAGCCTGGGGTGGGGATCTCATTGCAGGGTCATGATATCTCCCCAGATTTCACGGCGCCTCTTGTTGTTTCAATGCGTCCCCCGGCTCCCCCTGGGCCGCGCACGTGCCGCCGGCCATGATTCTACAGGCTTACGCCACATCCGCCGACCCCTTTTTTCAGTGGCGCTGGTTGCCATGAGTTCTGGGTAAGCCGCGGCATATTCTTTCCGTTATGGCGCTGGCACAGGGCGAGGGGGGGCCGAAGAGGGCCGCATATTGGCCCACGAGTCGAAACAATGGAAAGCGCAAGAAGCGCGGAGAGGACGCTGTCTTGAGGTGGGATGACGCGGAAGTGCAGAATGCGCAAGCGGTGGCCGCGGCGTCGAGGGCCGCAGAAGGCAGCGGCGCGGGCGGAGAGGAAGGTGCTCAGGAAGTGGTCACGGCCAAGAAAGCGGCGGCGCCCAGTGTGCGGAAGTGGAGACCCGGCCTTGCGGATAGCGGGTTAAACGCGAGACAGGGGAGCGTCGTTGAGAAGGTGGCAGATCGAGCGTTGGCGCAAGAATTCGCGAGTTCCGCGAGCGGAAGGAAAATGGGCCAGAGCCGTTATGATATGCAGCCCCTTGTGTGGATGTTTCATGGTGACACGGGGGCGGGGAAGAGTTTCGTCATGGATAAGATCCGAAAGGAGCTGCTCGAAAAAGAGCAGGGGTGGGCGCGCGGCGTAGATTTCCAGGCGGCAGCGTTGCAGGCCACAGACGCGTCAGCTCTTGACGGGAATACGATTCACAGTGCATTTGGGCTCGGTGTGAAGAAAACGAAAGAGAAGGGCGCGGCGGGAGATGCCAACGCAGAGGCGAAAAAGAAAACGAAGAAAGGCAAGCCGCGCAGCGTATGTCACAGTAGAAGTGGCTGATAGTGGACGAGGTGAGTATGGTCAGCGCGAACTTCATGGGGGCGCTAGACTCCCACTTGCGGTCGTGCATGTCAGCTGCAAGCGACGCGAAGGTAGGTGAAGACGGCGTAACCAGGCCCTTCGGGGGCGTGAATGTGCTGTTCTGCTGGGATTTCTATTAATTGGAGCCGCAGCCATTAATGCGCTTCCGACGTCGCACTTGAAAAAACGCGAGGATGTTCGCGCCAGGTGCCACGAAGGACCACGGACAGTATATCTTTCGGGGAGCGGGTGGTGAAGGCGCAGTGCAGGGACTGACAGCATTGACAGAGTGCAAACGCGTGGAGGATCAAGACGATTGGTTTCTCGCAGTGCAGGACGAGTTCCGCCGGGGGGGGCTGTCGGAGCGCACGCGCAATTTCTTGCATGGCAGACCGATGGATGCGCCGGGGTCGCGGGTGAACGGTGCACCGCTGTGCGGGAAGACGCGTTGTCTCGAAGACATAGAGGCAATTGCGAGGCAAAGCGAGCTCGAATGTGCCGCTTGCAAAGCTGAGCGGGAGAAGAGAAAGCTCGTTGCGACGTCGCCCGGATATGCGCGGCTTCGGGAGGAGATATTCCTTGATGTTGTCGCCATTTATGCGAATCAAGACATTCGTTGCCACGTCGGGAAGCAGAGAGCTGTGCAGTGGGCGAAGGGGCGAGGAGAACAGCTTCTGCGGGTCGCAGCCAGGGGTCGCCCTTGCCACCGGAGGGGAACAGAGGCGGCCGTGCACGGTGGAGGATAAGATACGTTGGCTGGGGTACCACGAGAAGGAGTGCGCACGCTTGCCTGGGTGGATGCCGTTGGCCAAGGGGATGCCGGTGGTTTTGGGGGACACTTGGATCGGTCGAAAAAGCAGCTTCTGCGGGGTCGCACAGCGACGATCCATGGCTGGGCGCTGCACGAGGATTGGGTCGTTGGAGATGAGGACGAGGAAGTATTGATGCATCTGTCGAGAGCGATTGTGTTGGACTTCCATGCGAAGGAGTGGCGCCTGCCAGGGTGGGAGCCAGGGCTGCGCCCGATCTTCCCATCGAAAGGGCGGCAATGATTCTTGGGCGGATATCGGAAGCATCCAGCACTGAGTGCGAAGCGCGCGCGGTCCATGATCACCCCGGCTTTGGCAGTGGCGGCGCACTCTGCGCAGGGCCGGGCCATGGCCGCAGTGATAGCAGACCTTGAAAGAGGGCGCGGCGTGAGTTGGATGTCAAGTTATGTTGCCGCCGCGCGCGTGAGCGGGCGAGAGGACCTTCTGATGTTCCGGCCTTCTGATAGG